TGTTATGTTTTGTTACAATTTAATAAGGCTCTTATTTATCCAAATTTTCAGGTAATAATAAAATAGATTCAATTTAAATGTTACTTGTTGTCGTAGTCGTTTTTTTCAAATTTATGGCTTTCGATTATAAAATCACATAACGCTGTATGCAATTGGACTACTCATATGCATCGTTATTACCATTTCTTTTAAATGCAAACATCATTTCGCATTAATTTAAAAATAAATCGGCCCTATGCCGATATCGTCATCGTCATCGTCGACGATCGTCAGCGCATCAGTAACATAGGGCGGAATATGAAAGTTTTTGACACATTTCCTACAGTTTTCTAAGGAAATAATTATTTGTGTTAAGGAAACAGGCATTGACTTTTCAACCAGACACCTGGTTACTTTGACAGCGTTACAAGCCGCCATTCGGCCAAACAAGTTTTCGAAGTAAATCAAAGTAAATTAAAGTCAGCAAGGTGTGCAAAGCAAGCCTGCATTGGGCCAGCGCCTTAAGGCTGAATTCGAAAGTGGGGAACGAGTTTTTTTAAATCGCCATTTCTCGGAAACCGGTTTTCGAAACTCGGTTTTCGAAAAAGAGCGAACAATCGAATACCTGAATACATACATATATAAAAACGCATAACATCCAGCACTCGACTATCCTCTCAACTTCATACTCCATTTCGGAAACGATTGCATTAAAATCTATATCTATAAATGGTAGCTTTTTCCGAATATGGCAACATTAAAATTTATACACCTACATACATACATGATTAATATATACAAATGATATTATCTATATGTTACTGCATTTTTTTTTCTGCCCTTCGTTTTTTGTTGTAATTCTACATTTTTAATATGTACATATGAAAGTATAAACATACCGTATTGTTCGTGTATATTTGTTCCAACGCCTGAGCTGGATTATCCTGGAAGTTCAATTAAAATTCAATCTGTATTGCGCAGACAGGCAGGAAGTGCACTTTGACTGTGTAAAATTTGGGCGTATATGAATGCACAGCCACACCAAAATAAATATGTTGATACATATATACATGCATATGTATGTATGAACTTATATATCTGTACATATGTACGTATAAAGAATGTAGGTATGCACATTAGCCCGAACCAACTCGCAAGCAAACAAAAAAGGGTTCCCCGCACACGCTGAGTCTAAATTATTTTTGCGAGACTAAAAATTGTATTTCTTCTTATAAATTTCGGTGACACTAATATTTGGCAATATATATATTTTTTTAATAGTTCTACTGGAATAATGAAACTACTTTCTTAGCAAAAGTTTAATGATTTTCGGTGAGCTTTAATTTATTATTTCATCGGGTGGTATGGTAGGGTGAACAGAACTGATATTAGGATGAGAAGAACTAGAATTGGGTACTTAAGGTCAATGAGCTTAGGAATTCAACCCTCGAGAAGAAAAAAAAATATTGACATAGCACACTTTAAGATACGACTGTAAATGTCGAAAATATGAGGATAAATGTAAAAGGGCGAGCCCTACGTTCGGCTACGCTATTTTTCGAAATTGCTTTGCAAAAATACTTTACGACTCAGTGATGCAGGCGAACTTTGTTTTTTTTTTCTGGTATGGTCTAATGCACAGATGGCTAGTTTGGTCAGTGGTGCATAAGCTCGCTTTTTTCTTTTTATTTTGGAATGGGCGTGCAAGTTTGACTTTATTTATGAAAGAGTTGGGTACTGTACTCAATAGCCACATATC